GTGTGTGTGTGTGTGTTAAACAGTGCATTAGCGAAGCTTCGGCAGTGTTTAACATGTCAGGGCAGGAGTTTGGAGAAGCTCCTCTCCTCCATAAAACATTTTTCCTTCTTACTGCACTGGATCTGGGGTGTGACTCACTAAAATCCACCTGTACTGTTTGTAGGAATAACTTGAGGGAAATAACAACAGGAACAGAACTGGAATTTGCAAACACATTTAGCTCTTCACTGACTCCAGAAAACACTATATAACGGGCTGAAACAGAAGCAGTGGCAACAGTAAGTCAGGAATTCCAGCTGAGAATTGAATAATTTAGGTCATTTTACTCCGACTCATCTCGTGTTGAAAATAAGATGTTGGCTAAGCGAGGGTAACACACGTTCATACAGCATAGTAGGTCAGCAGAATTAAGCAACATAAAAAAACACACAGTTTAGTACTGTGTGGTGGATATGTTGCGTTATGATTCAGTTGATTCATCACAGTTTAATGGCAGATATCGTCTGGTTCCAGCATTTCCAATATGAACATTTGCTTCTGTCTTTTCTTTTAAATTAAGACTGTTGGTCAAACAAACCAGGACATCGGGTTTTCAGAGCACAATAACACACAGATTCATTGCCAAACAAATCATGTACTTTTTTTTATGGTTTGGTGCTGCGGCTTATTTTAGTTTGACCTGAAATTCAAAGTTCCTTTTTGTGGTACACAGGTGTTTCTTCACCTGAGGGCTTTTTTTTGTGTTGTGACTTCTCTGTGATCACTCCCACAATATGCTGTAAGTGACAAAACATGCGAGAACATGGCAGGCAGTATGTTAGAAAAGGACCACTCACAGTCAGTGAGGTAATACTGCCTGGGGTACGGGAAGGGAGTATGATATGTAGTGTAGATGGATGTTGCCTGTTTAAATTCCTTAGTTCCACAAAAGTAGTGTTGCATAAGTGAGATTTGTTGGAAATGGGCCAATGGAGACAAATGATTAACCAGTGTGAGCTGAAGTAAAGATCTTTATCTATGATTAAGTGTTCAGTAGTAGTATCTTTCGATTTTATCTGCAGGGTTGGGTTCAGGGTAAGGGAATTCTGGGATTTTCAAGTAAATTCCCGCCAAAATAGGGTCCCTTTTCCACAGAGCGTCCCAGGAATTTTAGCATGTGTGCTTGTGTTATCATATATTTAAGACTATTGTACGTCACTAAAGCACTCTAGCTCATAAACGCCACTCCACAGTTGCCGAAGCTATAGCCTGACCTTAAATCTGCGTTATAATGGTGATATAACCCAATCAGCTTTTCATCTGGTACAATTAGTTTATGTTAAAATAGCCGTTTTCAGCTCAGCAAACAAAGCAGTGCGCAAATTCTGTAGATGGAAACTATGCAGGTGGTTCAATAAATGGCATAATCTGATATGCAGACCATCTAATCAAAGCAGTAGGACTGTCCTGTCCTCACTAATGCGTCCTGTGTCCTCGATGACACTCACTGAAGAATGAACTCTGTACTCTTTCCAGTATTCAGCAAAAAAATATGCTACAGTCTTACATTTTAGGCTTCTATAATGTAAAATATTAAACCTCAAACACACAGGCACAGACAAACAGCAGCTGTAAACAAAAAAACAGCACTGCAGTGGTTACATGCAGGTTGCACATGTAGCGGGGCACATTGCCACATCTGCATCTGCATGTTAAACTGCTTACTGTTACCGCTCTATTAAAGGTCCAGTGTGTAACCATTAGGAGGATCTAAAGGCAGAAATGGAATATAATAGTCATAGGTAAGTTTTCATTAGTGTACAATCACCTGAAAATAAGATTGGTTGTGCTTTTGTTACCTCAGAATGAGACCTTTTTATCTACAGAGGGAGTGGATCCTCTTTTATCGACCATGTTTCTACAGTAGCCCAGAATGGACAAACACACTGGTCCTTTCAGCCAACAATTTTCTGGCTCTAGCTTCATATTTAACGGACAGATGTGAGGGTGGCGTCAACCTTCTCATCGAACTCTCCACAAAAAAGCCTCTAAGAATATTTCCCAAAATGTCAAACAGTCGCTTTAAACGTGTCTCATTCCTTGCATACATTCAGCTTCTCTGTATTTAGAGACTTGTATTTTTCTACTGAAATGGGGCGGAGATGGCAGTCCAGCTAGAAGCATAATACAGGTTTCAACAATCACTGATGGCACACCAGTGAGTAGAACGTATTTGTCCATTGCACTTCAGCACTTCGTATACTGTATGAATCGAGAGCATTCTGTCACTGACCCTGCATTGTACGAGTTTCAGATGGTTGTAGTTTCCAGCATTGACTTTGTCTGCCCTTGGTGATTTTACAACAGTGAAAGCAGTGGACACATTCTCACGATAATGACACAAAAAAGTAGAAAACATTCTTTCTCATTAAAAAAGGAAACCCTGTAACAAAAAAACAAAACAAAAAAAATGCAGAGTACTTGTTAAGTGATACAGCGATTGTTAAATTCAAGACACTGGATTTATAGTAGTAGCAGCAGCACTAGCTACAGACAACTTAACAGTACACTCAAGTGTGTCAGATAGTAACAACAACCAATAGGAAAATCACAAGCGTTTTGCAGAGAGGCTTTTCCATGTTCCAGTCAATCTCTGGCAGTGTCTGCTGGATAATTTGATTCCATATTTCCCCACTGAGAAGACCCCCATGTATTCACATATGACATAACCGCACTCCCATTTTAGGCCTACCTGGCGTAGCATTCCTCGGAACAATCAACACACAAGTGTACGTCTATCTACCCCCTTTAGAAGCTGTAAACAAATTTCCCTCATGTCTCTGATGCATTTTTTTTATTTTTTGTTCCTTTTTAAAAAGTCTATTTCTTTCTGTCTTTCAAGTCTTTCCCTTTGTTCTCCTTTTCCCTGTTTTCTTTCTCGTATTTGTCCTTGTCCGACTTCGTCACACTATTGTAAGAAGGCGGGGAGGCTGTGGAGGGGGTCATGTCTGTTTTGTCCGAAGTGGAGTTCTCGGTGAACTTGCTGATGACCATCACGTCCTTGTCAGGGTCGCGGATGCCCTCCTTCAGCTTCTCCTTGTAGAGGGCGGAGGCCTTCTTCATGGCCAGGCGGATCATGTAGTGGCGGAAGGCTCTCTGGATGATTTTGGCTGACATGTCCTCCTGTTTGCGGCGGAGCGTAGTGGTGATGGGCTCGTAGGACACCTTAGAGGGGTTGGACGCCATGAAGCGCTCCTCCATCTGCCCGCGTAACACGTCCATTTCACCGCCCTCGCCCAACACTCGCTTGGTGAAGGCGAACAGGATGTCGAGGCAGTGGATGCGCTCGCCACTCACCATCGGCAGGTCCATGGAGATGAGCTGGATCATATTCGGCTTGGGCATGCGCAGCGGTGGATCGAGAGCGTTTGCAAAGTCAGAGAGCTTGCTGTACTCCATGAACTGAGTGGCGTCGGGATCGAAGCGCTCCCACACTTCGTAGAACATCTCAAAGTCATCCTCGCTCAGCGGCTCGGCGCTCTCCTCTGTGGCCACGCTGAAGTTCTCCAGGATGACGGCGATGTACATGTTGACCACAATGAGGAAGCAGATGATGATGTAGCTGACGAAGAAGAAGATGCCCACTGACGGGTTGCCACAGTTGCCTTTGTAATAGTTGCCCGGGTGCTCCATCTGGCTGTCACAGTCGGGCTCTCTCTTGTTCAGTATGGGCGCCAGCAGGCTGTCCCACCCGGCCGAGGTGGTAATCTGAAACAAGCAGATCATGCTGTTCCCGAAGGTCTCGAAATTGAACATGTCGTTGATTCCGGCCTCCCGCTTCACGTAGGCAAAGTTGGACATGCCAAAGATGGCGTAGATGAACATGACTAGGAAGAGAAGGAGGCCGATGTTGAACAGGGCAGGGAGAGACATCATCAAGGCAAAGAGGAGCGTCCGGATGCCTTTGGCACCTTTGATAAGGCGGAGGATGCGGCCTATCCTGGCCAGGCGGATCACTCGAAACAGTGTTGGGGACACAAAGTACTTCTCGATAACTTCAGATAAAAACATGCCTGCAAAAGCAAAAAAAAAAAAAAAGACATTCAGGACACATTTTCACTCAGTAGTAGGACTGGAAAGCTGAGGTACCTTAAACTTTTCCTCACCTACGATAGACAGGATCACCACCACAAAGTCAAATATATTCCAGCCAATGGTGAAGTAATAGTGACGCAGAGAGATCATCTTCAGCACACACTCCCCGGTGAAGAGCACGATGAAGACCAGGTTGATCCAGTAGAGGATTTTGTCCATATCTGGCGTCTGGTCATCCGTCTCCACCATCATGGTCACCATGTTAAGGCAGATGAGGATCATGATCACGATGTCAAAGGCCTGCTTTGTGATGCAGTCGAACACGCAGCCTTGAAATGCATTCTGGGAGGCGGAGAGGACAAGAGAGCAGTGGTCATTTCACGCCTCTGCATGTAGAATAGACAGAATAAAGCGCACAGTGTGAGCACGTATAGGCTTACTGTAGGCCGAGGTATAGGTTTCTGTGGTTTCTTGGAGCCCAGCTTCTTCATGGCATTGTAGTATTTCTTCTGTTCTTCTGTCATGAAGATGTCCTGACCTCCAAAGTAAAGAGGAGGAAAACAAAACTTGGTTATAACCACGTATGAAAATATTTTGTTTACATTTAAAAAAAAGCAAAGAGAACGACAAATCCACCATATATTTCAGTTTGGAACAATGCCTTCGAAGTACACTAGGTCTTCAATGTTTCTAATGAAATCAGAAGCTTCACAGAGAGTATAACACAATCATCAGTCTGCAGGAAAATTCAGTAAAAAATCGTTTGACGGTAAAATGTGGAGTCCTTAGAAAATATATGACACCTAAGACAGAGAACCCTCTATCCCTCTTAATAGGACACTTCTGCAAAGTAAATTACATCTTCTTTGCATTTGTGGAACTGTATACTATGATCTGTCAAGTGGCCATTTTGGTTGTTGTTGCTGTCTCGTTTTCTTGCAACCCCATACGGTCAGGTCACCAAAACCAATCAAAAATCAATTTGTAAGAGGAAACAGGTGTGGCTCTCCTGCACAGAAGATCAGTTGGGTGCTCTGTCTAATAAAAAACAAAGAAAAAAACAGTCTGTATTTCCCAAAAAACAAAGTGAAGAATAAAGGCGGCAGTTCACAGGGCAGAACCAGCAGAAGGATTACCTCATGTTATTCTTTTATCTATATTGATTTGAGATCAATAGGCGCACAAAACTGCTGACGCATATTGGCACGAAGCCTTTCACAGAGCATGCCTGACAGCAGCAAGCTCTCTTTTTTAAAGACACATCACCAATCAACAGAAAACAATCTCACCTGCAGGAAAATCCCCCCACTCCCTTTTTTGTAATGTCATGCAGTGTTTCTTTCTAAATTTGTTGTATTACTTTTAGTTAATTCTTTATTTGTAACCCTTTTTGGATGGCGTCAACGCGGTCTCTATGGTCTCATTAACAGAAGACATGAATCCCCCTCACGCTATCCTACGCGAGGCACACATCACACTCTGGGCTCACTCGCTGTATGATGCGTGTCTGGAGGGAGGACTGGTGTCAACACTCGACAACCATCTGTGTGACGCTGTGCCTGTGGGGGCCGCTGAACCGCACCAAACGATACAGTGTCTCAGTCAGTCAGTCAAGTCAGACCTGCCAGCACGCAGCAAACACAGTGCAAACCCCCTCCCCCTCCCCAACCCTCAACCTCTCCTCCTCCCTCTCCTGGGCGTTGCCAATCCTACATGTTAGCGCTTGGTTGAATGGAGGGCACATTTCCAGACTACATTCACCCTGACAATATATATATATCTGTGTGTGTGTGTGTGTGTGTGAATGCAGGCAGGGTGTTTCTCAGTGACTCATGCACCCTCCGAAATCCTTGGCAGTAGCAGGTCCTCACTGTGCTACAGATAATCATTATTCTGTAGTTCCGTTCTTTCTTTAACGCAGCCGGCTCTGATCCGGACCCGGACTGTGCTTGGAGTGGTGTCCGTTGGTGCTCCATTGAAACATCCATTGGCTGTGAGTGTCAACATTAATAACAGCTGGCAGGGTTGAACCAATAACCCGGGATTTCCTGGGATTTCAGTTTTACTTTGAAATATTATTGCATCCATAAAAAGCTGACCCATCTCTCCTAACAAGTCTATAGAACATTTCACTATCTACGTTTACTTGATCTGATAGAGACTGTTACTAAATGCAACTCATCTTCTTCTTCTGCTGGTTGAAGTTGTCGATGATCACGCCGATGAACAGGTTGAGGGTGAAGAAGGAGCCAAAGATGATGAAGATGACAAAGTAGAGGTACATGTACAGGTTCACTTCATATTTAGGCTGGTCTTCCAACTAGAACAAGCAAGAGAGAACAAAATATAAAAAATAAATACTTCATAACTTGTGTATGTCAATCCCATAATGCAGAAAAGCTAAATGGCTTTTTTCAACTTTGTGAAAGCGCTTACATTTCGAGAGTCCACAGCTGCGTACATGATATCCATCCAGCCCTTAAATGTTGCCTGAGAGCAGATGAGAGATGTGTCAGTCTGGATGGTGGAGGTTATCACATAAACTCTGTCTGCTCGGGGATACAACAGTTACATCACATTTAACATAACCAACTGTCTTTTATAATGGTGTCGATCATTAAAGCTGCAAGATTTATTGTAAGCCACTGAAAAAAAGAGGTTAGTGTTTATGCTGCTGGCATCAGTTATATCAGACCTGGAGAGTATTTCTTCACTAAAAGAAGAGCAAAGGACGGCACTGAAGGATTTTCTCGATGGAAAAGATGTCTTCGCTCTTCTCTTGAGTGACTTCGGATGGTT